CCAAGCAATACCTTTACTTACGATTTTGAAATCGAAGAAGAAGAACTAGCTCAAAGAGGCATAAAAAGACTTGATAACAACGGTCAATTAGACTGCAGAAAAAAATCAGCCAAGCACAATTACTTCTTCTATTTCATCGAAAGATGGAAGAATAGAAAAACATTTGAAAGCGGCCACCCAAAAATATATCGTTGAACTTCGAAGTTTTTGCGCAAATACAGAGATCTCTGTTCTCTTCTAGTTTTGAATAAGAAGCTCGATAGAAACAGATATTATTCGGGTTGGATGCACCCCGTCGTTACTTGATCAGAAAATTAACCAAATACATTCAATTAGATTATCAAGAGAGCTAAAATAGTGATGGCAATAGGCTGAACAAATGTACCAAACGTGACAACCAAAATTCAAAAAACTTCGAAGTTGTAGTGTCATTAAAGACAACTTATTAAAGAAAACGAACATAAAGCATATTCATAAGAATTGAAAGAAAAAGGCAAAAGTTCAGGAGAGAGTGCATCAGGGAGACAAAGACGAAAAGCCTAGAGAGACCATGAATGGGTAGGGGACTGATTTAACGACGAGGAGAAGCAAAAAAGTCAGAATATAAAGGATGAGTGAACCGAGTTTAGATCCGAATATGTGACAGCCAGCGAATGAGGAAAAAAGAGACTTCGATATGAAGTAGAGATGATGAGCGCAACAAGACAAAACGAAAAAAGCGCTATAATGAAACAGTGGAGACGCAGGAAACTTATATAACTGAACGAGAACACTTGTCACAAAACGATTGAGTAGAAGTTTGGGGGAAAAGATAAAGACCAAAAACATGGAAAATATTGGAGCAAAAATGCAAAAGAGTCTCAGAAGTCTAATTCTCATCATCCAATATTTCGATATAATTGGAGATGACCGATTTTAATGCACAGGCCGAAGCGGAAGAGCATCAAAAGTAGAGAGCTTGAGAGACTGGTCATCATTCGAATCAATTTTCGGCACCACGAGATTGCGAATAACACACCAACTTCAATTAAAAGCAAGGAACGACCAACACGGAAGAACCTACGACCGTCTTTAATCCCGTACCTGATAAATCACAATCAAGTAATGGGGGCACCAGAGTGAGAGGTCACCAAGGTGGGTTTTTTCAGCCAAGGAGAGAAGAAGTGGAGAGGTGGAACGTCTTATAAATCGTAGACTCTATCAACTCTAACGTGATGAATGGACTATAGAAAAGGGCGATAGACGGCGCCAAAGAACCAAAATTTAGTCTAGCCATGAACGTGATTAAGAGGAACAAAGTCTTGAACTGGTGAAAAAAAAATGCCAGTACAGCAACCAAGACAGCATGAAATTTTGTGTTAACCATGAATAAATCAAGTAGCCTGGAGGAGCTCTGAACAAGCGACAGCTATTGGCTCTGAAATACTCGAAAAACTTAACCAATGTTAATTCACTGCCTGAACAAAGTCCTGAACAGTCCAGCCCCAAACAAATCACGAGCAGAGAACTAAAAAAAACAGCCAGCTCGATACAAGAAAAGTAGACAGAAAACTGAAAGTTGCCGCATTTAATGACTGAACCGCGCCGTTTTAGACTTAAATTAGCAAAACTGAATATTTACAAAAAAAAATTTTAGCTAGCACTTTTTTTGTTATAAAATCTTTTTTTTAAAATGATTAGAACCTCCTGATGTAATTGCTTACCAGGATAATTTCGGATCGCATGGGTTGAATATCATCCTTCAAAGTACAGTGTCAAATTTCCGTGTGTGATTGGTGGTCGTTCTTTGAAGTTGAAGACTGAAGTGATCGACGAGGATTTGCCGCTTCTGTTGGGTAATTCATCACTGAAACTAGCTTGTGCGGTAATTGACGTCAGATTTAAAAAATTCTCAATTTTCGGAAAAGATGTTGACTTATCAGAAGAAAGCAGTGGGCATTTCAGTGTAGAAATCTCACCACCTCCAACAGAAGAGTCAACTGAAACAGCTCTGACGCTTATTTCTGCTGTTGATCAGTATGATGAGAAAGATATTTGGCGTTTACACCACTATTTTGGACATGCTTCTGTTGAGAAGCTCACCAGATTGCTCAAAAATGCTGGAAAGTTGAATACCGAGACGAAAAAGTGCTTAGAAAAAGTACGCACTTGTGAAAGCTGTCGGGTTAACGCCAATCGGAAACCTCAGCCAAAAATAGCGTTACCCCGAGCAACAGACTTCAATGAAATTGTTACTTTGGACCTGAAAGCTTATGATGGTCAAGGAACTTATGCGTACATTCTGTACGCAGTGGACTTGTTCTCCAGTTCTCAAGACACACCATTGCGACGTTCATTCAAAGAAAAGACGCAATCACCGTGGGAGAAGTCCTTCTTGGCTGTTGGATCTCTCAAGCAGGTTTGGGACCCATGAAAATTCTCCATACGGATCGTGGACGAGAGTTTCTCAACGAGGAATTGACGGCAATTGCGGAGTACATTCAGATTTAACAGACTTCTACTGCAGCTTATAGTCCAAATGCCAATGGATGTAACGAACGCAGTCATGCTGTTGTGGACAACATGATGAGCAAGATGCTGACATCTGATCCAGAGATTAAACCCGAAATTGCGTTAACTTGGTGTATCAACGCTAAAAACCCCCTTGAAAACGTAAATGGTTTTTCACCTGCACAAATTGTGTTTGGGCGCAATCCCAAGCTACCGAATCTTTTCTCCGCTGGTCCACTCGGTTTCGAAGAAGTCGCCGTCTCCAAAACCTTAGCGCAGCATATAAATGCAATGCATAAAGCAAGAGAGGCGTTTATTGAGTCGGAATCCGACCGAACGCTCAAAACCGCTTTAAAACAGCGAATATACAAAGGAGTTGGCGATGTAGACGTTGGAGAATGGATTTATTACAAAAATTCAAAAAAATGGGAAGGTCCGGTGAAAATTCACTCCAAGGATGGAAAACTGCTTTACTCCGTACGAGCGAACAAACTTCTGACGATAAATTCTGATCATGTTATGCTGACAAAGGCGGATGACGTTTTTGGCGTCAAACCAGATATTCGAGCCAGTTTTGTAGAAAATAAGACTTGGGCCGAACCGTTTTCAACGAACCACAACCCTCCAGATGCGCACCATGTGATTGCTGAAACTGAGCAAAACAGTTCTACAGAACCAATAAACGACGAGACTGACTCTGAGGGATCGATTGACCACGATCAAGAAGAAACTCAGCGGACACAAGATCCAGTCCCAGAAACCGCAATCCAAGCGTCAACTTCAGAATCGAGCACCCAACCAGGTGGTGTGTCAGATTCTCCAGGTTTTTGCCCCATGAACGCATACGAAGTGAAACGCAACGATTTTGTTCGTTTTAAGCGCGAAAATTCGTTACAGCAAAAGTTCTGAATCTTGCAGGTAAGAGAACTGGAGCATACCGTTATTGGTGGAGTTTAGTTGATCAGAATACCGGCCATGTTTCTCCTGAGAATTTGCAGACAGTGGAAAATTTGGAAAAATGTAAGCTCCAAACGTCTGAGCAAGTTTTTGCTGTCAATGTTCCTCGCTGGCTCCACGGATCAGTAGCGGTGAGAGAAGCTAAAGAGGCTGAACTGGCGAATTTTGATCGCTTCGATGTTTATCAAGAAATTGAAGACAGAGGCCAGCCACGGCTTGGCACGAACTGGGTTGTAAACGAGAAAATACAAGACGACAAAGTTATCACCAAAGCGAGGCTAACGATTAGAGGCGGTCACGAGGATTCAACTTCGTTCGAGAAAGACTCGCCAACTGTATGGAAAGGTAATATCCGGATTTGACTAGCGGTTGCTGCGAAAAACGGCTGGACAATAAAATCGAGTGATGTCACAAGCGCGTTTTTGCAGTCTGCACCTCTCGAGCGGAATGTTCTTGTTCAACCCCTCAAAGAACGTCGTTTTCCTGGAGTTCTCTGGCAATTGAAACGTCCCGTTTATGGGTTATTTGATGCGTCTCGCGGGTTTTAGCAAACTTCTGAAGCTCGGATGTCAGAAGTTACAACTGGACCCAGCATTGTTCATTTTCTACACCGCAGAGCGAGAAAACGAAAGTTCGGAACCAAATGGCATGCTGGTTTCTCACGTAGACGATCTACTGCATGCGGGTGACAACAATTTCGAAGTTACGGTGATTGAGCCGTTGAGAGCAGTGTTTGCATTTGGAAGCGACAATGACTACGACTTTCGATATGTAGGTTTCCATATCGAGCAAGTGGATTCAGGGATCTATGTTGACCAAAATTACTATTTTCGAAGTTTGGATGTGCATGACGTCCAATCTTTCAACAACCCGGGCGCTGGAACCGAGTTAGGTGTAGATAGCCAAACCATTTTCCGTTCTGTGGTTGGCACGTTAACAAATATCAGTTTCTCAAGCCGCCCAGACCTGTGTTTTTTCGCCAAAAGCATGAGCAGCAAATACGGAAAAGCTACGCTGAAAGACGTGAAAATTGTGGTGAAGAAACTTGTTTTAGTCAAAAGTTCCGGAAATTCAAAGATGTTTTTCCCAAATTTGGGAGACGTTTCTTCATAGGCACTGGTCGGACATGCAGATGCTGGCGTCAATTCGATGCCTGATAAGATGACCAGTGTTGGAGGCAGTGTTTTGATGTTGTGTAACATGTCAGATGATTCAGCCATTGTGTTATCCTGGCGTTCCAAAATATTGAAGAGAAAAGTGACTAGTTCTCTAGCTGGAGAGTGTTACGCATTAAATTCGCTGCTTTGAGAGATGATCTATATGAAGACTATTCTTGTCCAGATCTTTGGTCGCAGAATGGATAATTTACCGTGCATCGCGTTCACAGACTGCAGGAACCTTCATGAAGCTGTCAGAAGCACGAAATTGGTGGATGATTCTTGGATAATTACCGACGTCGCTATGATAAAAGATGCCCTGAGCTCAGGCGATATCACCGAGCTACGCTTATGTTAGAGTGAAAGAATGCTAGCGAACTGTCTGACGAAGAACGGAGCTTGCGGTTCTGAGCTGATGGAAACCATGGAAAATGGTTTGTACAAACTAGGAGAAGCTGTGTGAACCGTAGTTGGGCCAATGTTCGATAATAATAATAATCTGTCTTTTAAAAGTGTTCTTTGTTACAGATGTATGGTGGTGGTTTGATAGTAATATCAACTATTCTTACTTAAAAGTGTTTTATTTGGCCACAGGGTATTGGGGTTTGAAGAAAAGCCGGGGACTGCGTAGACCTTCTGGTGCGTCTCTCTCCGTTCCTCTAGCTCAAGATCTTTCAGGCTGTGATAAGGGGAGCTGGCAGTTACAATCAGCGCCATTTTAACTCAAACAGTACAATTCTGTACAAATAGAAAAAAAAACCGAATTAATGATTGTTTTCCTTAAAGGAATATAATAGTTTGCTTATCGCCAAAAAGGGTTAGAATTTAACAAAAATGGTGATAAGAAATTTGAAATGTTAATTCAAATGTTTTCGCACATTTTGTGCATCATCAGGATCAAAATTTTTTTTTACAATTTTCACAAAACGATCTAAGGTCTGAAAAATGAGAAACATATCTAAAAATGCTTTAAAGTTTTTTTGACCAATCAAATTTAAACAACTAATTACATAATAAATTACGTAATCAATAATAACGTTTTCCTGTAAATTTCTGATATTTCTTTTTTATTTTTTGTTCTTTCATGGTTATGAAATTCCGATTTGGGAATATCGTTATCTTTTCCATATCCTGAAAATTCTTAGGATTTTGGCTGAAATATGTGATGAAATGACTCCTGGCTGTAATCTCGGTTACTATGATACTTGCTACTGGCAAATGAAGTGTTTTTTAGGACTGGTGTAGTAACTTCGGCTGCAATGATAGTTACTGCTCCGATTATTTAGCATTAAAAAAGACGTATTGTTGTGACTGTGTCAACGACACCCAGTATATTAAAAAATTGTTGTTCATTTTCAACTGATAATTAAAATTTAGAAGGGCAATTGAGCGAATGCCTGTTGTAGATACTGATGTTTAAAAGAAATCTGTCAGATAGGCTTGGGGATGGCATAGGACAACGATTAGCTTTGCCACCCTCACAAGATGAAAATTACGACCTCAGAGAAACGCTTGAAAATAAAACACTTCCAGTGTCTGCTAGGATTGGAGGAACCAAAAGGTAAGTAAGTTTTTTGTCCACAAAACAGCCCAACTTAAGCAATGCAGTTGAATTAAAAGTTGTACTATCGAAAATTGTGTGAAGGTAAATACCTTTTTTATCATCTTCAGAACTGAAAAACACGTAAGAACTGATTATAAAGAACAGACAATTTACTGATTTGAAAAAGTTTCTTAGCTATGACGTTCTATTGACCTGAAATTTCAGTCGATCTGAGATGGAACGACCTTACAATGAACCAAAGGGACTTCAAGGAAGATTAGGATTAGCCGCATCAGAGCAGTCAGATCGGCACACCGGAGAAATTCATACAGCTCCGAAAACGGACATAATTTCTGCGGCTAAGAAAATAGTGCAGAACGTCAGTATGGGCGCTCGTTTGGAGGACCGCATTGGAACTACAGGGCCAGTAAGTAAAAGCTCGAACTTGCGTAGCCGTCTAGGAACTGAAAACCGGAGCAGCAAACCGTTGCCTGAACATTTATCGATCGTAAATGACAGGAAACGAAAAACAAACGATGCCTATGTGATTCAAGATGATAATGAGACGCTAGAGAATGATATGCAAATTGTGATTCATCAAGATGTAAGGCCAGCTAAGTTGCAATACAGTGAACCGATACGGGATTTGACTCTTAATCGTTTCATGGATATTGGCGAAGATGCGCCGATGAGCTTCGCGACAAATCTGAATAGGCACTCACTGCGTCCTCTCGATCTGTATGATAGATCGAATAACCGTTTCGTGAACAGGAATGCGTTAGATCCTAGAGGTATGTCAAATGATAGTCAGTTAGGTCTCTCATCTTCACGAGGCTTCCAAGAAAGAGATTCATTTGGACCTGTTAGGGGTTTCGAGATGCCTCTCTCACGAGATGAACTACTTCTACAACAGATGCAAGAAGAGCGTGCTCTGTTGAGTCGTATGCAACATACAAGAGAATTGCCAATGGACATCGGAGGCAGGAGTTCGCAAATGAATTACGGCCGCGGAGGCTATATGAGAAGAGGTTTGATGGATGATGATTTATTGTCGCGTCAAGCGCAATCGCGACATGCAATACTTGCGCCACCGATTACTAGTGCCGCAGCTCTTGAAATGGAAAGATTCAAAGCACAGCAATTTGCTGCTAGAGAAGAGCTTCAAATGAGAGAGGAGCTGGAACGCGAAAGGCGAAAACGTGAAGCTCTGGAGGAAAAATTGAGAATGCAAGAGGCCAAAATGAGAATGCAACAACAAACTCGCGTTGACGTAGGAAGACAACCGACCAAGTTTGGTTCGATTTTGGAGAGTAAACGGAACGTCGCGGCTCCTGTAGCCCTGAAGCCAACAACTGCGCCTAGTAAAGTTATCTCAACCAAGCCCTCTGCGAATATCGCCAGTAGACTTGGTCCCCCAGCGAAGAAAGTCGAGACTGTAGTACAAAAGGAGGTGCCTAATGTTGTCAAAAAGATCCCTAAGATCAACGCAGTTCCAATGTTTCGACAGGAAATTGACTCTGATTTGCAGAAGCATGTAGTTCAGTTGACTCCAAGACAACATGCTGATTATAACATGCGTGTCCTGGAGTTCGTTCAAGCATGTACTGAGCTGTCAATGAATGAAAGGTTCTCTAATATCGTTGCTGTGATTTAAGCCAACCCAGATTAAGTCTTTTGTGGAATTGATTATAAACTCTTTATAATTTGACGTATCTCTGAATTCGCAAACATGCTCTTTTACGCAGTCAGTATTGAATTGGTATCATCTGAAGTAACCTCTCGTTAGCTCATGTGAAATCACGAACGCTCCCGACGATAAAATCAAATTCAGTTTTAACTTGAATTTTATGATTCACTAAACTATGAATCGAAATACTCAACCCCTTGTTTTGTTACCGGAAGAATTTTGAAGTGGACCAGTAAATGTTTTTGTAATCATCATTATTGTGTGGGTTCTCATTTAAACTCTTTGTAAAAATTGATGATTGGTCTACTTTTAACTATTTACAGCATGGTATACTGAAGTTTTTCAAAAACCATGATGAAAAATCCCACTGACAAAAAAAAATTATTTCGGCACATTTTTTATGCCTTACGAACAACTTCAAGGAGTATCATGATTGCTAGCCTACAATTTGCGATTACTATTAAACCAACATTGTTTTTCATTTTTTGTTCCGACCAGCGAGTGAGCACGCTTATTAAAGAAGGATACGCCAAAAAAACTTTATTCAAGAACTGAAAATTATGTTGAAATTTTTACTATGACTATAGACTGTGACTGTTTTAGGCACCCCACGCACAAAAAAAAACAACACTAATTTGAAAAGGTAGTTGTTCAAGAAAAAGGTCGGGTATTCTGTGCTACTGGGGCGGCAACCGGCTATCCTTGTTGTTCCGACCATTGAAAATGGGGATGAACTTTGTATTCGGGTGTGTTTTAGTTTTTTTTTTGCTTTTTGTTTTCCACGCAAAATCAGCTACCACAGAATAATCAACAGACAGGGTTGAATGATATATCGTTTTAAAGCCCTTCTGGTCGTGAATCGAACGACATGCCTGTCTCATTTCGAGCTAATTAGTAAGGTAGTTAGTAATTGCAATAGCTTATTTTAACCTAATTTAAATGTGAAAACTTAGTTTTACTCGAGTAAAGGTAAGTTTTGGAGTTTTTTAGCGCAATTTTGGGAATCAAAACTTGAAAATTCAAAAAATTTCCACTGAATTTTTTTTTTCATTTTTCTAGTCATTTTTCAAAAACTGTTTTCTAATCGACCTATTTTACTATGACTTTCAAATATGCTGTAAGTTCTACGTTTTTGTTAAGATTTTTTTGTCACAACATGCAGAAAAAAAATGACACCATTTTGTAAAAGCATTTTTGTATTTTTTTAAGACTGGTCGGAGCATTCTGTGCTACTTGCAGAGTAACCGGCTATCCTTGTTTTTTTGTTTAATTTCCACTTAGAAAGGCGAAGTTTTTCAGCAAACCTGCAATTTGTGGCACTTGTGATGGCGAATAACTGCATGATGTTGTTTAATCTCCGACGGTGCAGTGATGAATAATTTTGAATTCTGGCTTATTTAAAAGTTAAGTCAATTGACGAAATGAAGACACTTATTTAGGGCTTGATTTTTTTTTGAGAAAAGGTCCTTAAACATTATCGCGCTTTTTTAGTGGTTTTGATTTTGATTTCGTAAGTCACTTAAATTCATATGCTAAAAGGAAGGCAAGTTATGCTCTCCAACTATGAAAATGCAATTGGCGCAAGAAACCTGAATTATTTCAGTTTCGAAAGTGATTTTCTGTGTAAGATTTTCGAGAGGAATATAAAAGATACACTTTGACCCAGTTTTTTTTCTGATTGGGCGAGTTTTTTTTTAAAAAAGAATGTTAATCATAAATGTTTCTTTGAAATTGAAAGAGCTTAAATCTGAGAATTTTGGTTTTCCTGAGTTTATCAACACCTTTTACTTTTGCTACCTTCTGAGCGTTCCCGGCCCACTTCAAGAAGTATCATGATTGCTAGTCTACAATTTGCGATTACTACTAACCCAACATTGTTTTTCATTCTTTGTTCCGACCAGCGAGTGAGCACGTATATTATAGAAGGATACGCCATAAAAATTTTTATTCGAGAACTGAAAACTATGTTAAAATTTTTATTATGACTATAGGCTGTGACTAAAATTTAGGCACCCCACGCACAAAAAAAACGACACTAATTTGAAAAGGTAGTTGTTTAAAGGTCGGGTATTCTGTGCTACTTGGGCGGCAACCGGCTATCCTTGTTGTTCCGACCATTGAAAATGGGGATGAACTTTGTGTTCAGGTGTGTTTTAGTTGTTTATTTTTGCTTTTTGTTTTCTACGCAAAATCAGCTACCACAGAATAATCAACAGACAGGGTTGAATGAAATATCGTTTCAAAGTCCTTCTAGTCGTGAATCGAACGACATTGAAAAGTTTCTAAAAAGTTTTCAGTGTCGAGAAAAACTGGTTTGAAATTTGTAGTCTCATTTCGAGCTAATTAGTAAGGTAGTTAGTAATTGCAATAGCTTATTTTAACCTAATTTAAATGTGAAAACTTAGTTTTACTCGAGTAAATGTAAGTTTTGGAGTTTTTAGCGCAATTTTGGGAATCAAAAACTTGAAATTTCAAAAAATTTCCACTGAATTTTTTTTTCATTTTTCTAGTCATTTTTCAAAAATTGTTTTCTAATCGACCTATTTTACTATGACTCTCAAATATGCTATGATTTTTACTTTTTCGTGAAATTTTTTCATCACAACATTCAGAAAAAAGACACCAATTTGTTAAAGTATTGTTGTTGTTTTTTAAAACTGGTCGGAGCATTCTGTGCTACTTGCACAGTAACCGGCTATCCTTGTTTTTTTTTAGTTTAATTTCCAGTTAGAAAGGCGACGTTTTTCAGCAAACCTGCAATTTGTGGCATTTGTGATGGCGAATAACTGCATGATGTTGTTTAATCTCCGACCATGCAGTGATGAATAATTTTGAATTCTGGCTTATTTAAAAGTTAAGTCAATTGACGAAGTACAGACACTTATTTAGGGCTTGATTTTTTTTTGAGAAAAGGTCCTTAAACATGATCACGCTTTTTCGTGGTTTTGATTTTGATATCGTAAGTCACTTAAATTCATATGCTAACAGGAAGGCAAGTTATGCTCTCCAACTATGAAAATGCAATTGGCGCAAGAAACCTGAATTATTGCATTTTCGAAAGTGTTTTAATGGGTAAGATTTTCAAAAGGAATATAAAAGATACACTTTGACCCAGTTTTTTCCTGATTGGGCGTTTTTTTTAAAAAAGAATGTCAATCATAAATGTTTCTTGAAATTGAAAGAGCTTAAATCTGAGGTTTTTGATTTTCCTGAGTTTATCAACACCTTTTACCTTTGCTACCTTCTGAGCGTTCCCGGCCCACTTCAAATTCTTACCATTCTCGGTCAACTTAGCCTGGAGGTGACCAATTCGCCTGGTACGGCAAAGGTCCTGGGTTCGAATCTGACCAAAAAATTGTCGGCTTATTATTTGTCTGCTAATGTTTTTTTGGCCTAGTTGCCTTAACGTAGAATTGTTTTTTTTTTTGCTATGCGCAAGTTACGTTGTAGTTGCTCTTAGTGTTCTGATTTATTTCTGTTATTTGTAATGGTCTCATATTGTGTGTCGACCTTTGAAAAAGTTTTGTGAGTGCCTGTGTGGTTTGTGGTTGAGTGGGACTTAATAAATTTTTATTATTCTTGAAGTAAGTTGAATTTATTTTCGTCTGTTTTTAATCTTACTTCTTTTTTGTCTTAATTGGTTTCGGCTTTTATTATATCGCCTTAGTGGCCTTTTATTGGTTCATTTGACGGGCAATTAAAGTTTTTTGTTTGATTGGGCTGAGGGCGAGGAGGACTTGCTAAATTTTTATAAATCTTAAGGCTTGTTGATTTTGTTTTTCGGCTTTCAAGGTTTTGTTAAAAAAATTTCGGCTTTGTTACCGCTGTGTTAGTTTTCTTTCGAGGCTAATTTTACATCCTATTGTTGTTACCCTTGCGATAGCAATGGTATTGCAATCGGGTACTAGACTTCTTCCCCGTAAACAACTTTGTCCACAGGACTTACGAGACTTCTTCATCTCATCAGCCTCTCTGCTAATCCTACTCCTCTTGATTGCAATTATTAAGCATGGTTGAGCTGGTTATCTCAAATATCCGCCCTGTTCAAAATTTGCTTTTTGATTTGTTAAAATTTTATTTTTTGTTTTTTGTCCTTTTTTCGGTTTACTCTGCTCTGGCTAATTTTATATCGGCTTAGCGGCTCAATTTCGAAAGCTTTCAAGAAAAACATATTTTTTTTAGCTCATCTCTGGTTCTCACAAAATGCTAAGACTCTTTATAGAAATTATAGTTCAAGTTTTTCATGAAAAAATTTTTTTTTCGGCTTTTTTCTACTTATTTTTTTTTCGGCCTGAAAAGTTTTGGCCACATATTGTTCCATTTGACGCGTGAATAAATTTTTTGTTTGTGTGCCTATGTGCTTAAATGTTAGAGGGTTTGGGAGACATGATATATTTAAAAAAAATTTCAGCCTAAAGGGTTTCTGCTAAGGTATTTCCGGCTTTGTTAACGCGCGATATATATTTTTTCGATGCTTGTTTAACATTCTATTGTCTAACTCGTTTTTGTTTCAAAACTAGCCTTATCGATAGATCTAGTTCAAAATGTTCGATATTTTTTTAACTTTGCGGCTTTCGTGTTTTGTATCGCAAGTGGTGCGAAGCTCAGCTTCGCCTCTGTGTATAATTGTTGTATCGCAAGTGGCGCGAAGCTCAGCTTCGCCTCTGTGTCCAGCTTTCTCTTGGATGTGTTTTCTTTTCAATCCAAAACCAGTTACCGCAATTGAACGTCATGATCGGGAAAAAGAAGGGGTGAGAAGTTTTCGTTCAACCACTGAAAGTTGGGAATAACAATGTCTTCGATTGATAAGTCGATGATGACTGGAAGCTCCTTTTGGCTAGCGACATCTGTTTCTTGGGCTAACGAATGAGTTGATTTATCTGTAATTTAGTTCTGGTGTTTGATAAGTTAAAGTTGATAACTAAAAGTTTTTGAAGCTCAAATTTGATTTTTCGCGGTTTGACTTTTTCTTAAGTTGAATTTTAAACTGAGCGAAATTTATCGTACTATCTTTTATTACAAAAGAGCATTGTGAGAATACACGTCACTGACTTTTAGTTATGAAAACAGACTCAAGTTTTCAGATTTTCCAAGGGAGTATAAATACCTATTGACACAGTTGTTTCTAATTGGGTTAGTTTTATTACGCTTGCTATCAGCAAGCGTTATCAAATCAGACTAAAGACTTTCAGGCTAACAACTTGTTTAATAAATTAGCTTAAAATAAATTATCCAGCAGCTGCGTTTCGGGTTATATTTCAGCATTTTTCTTTTTTAAGTACACTACCTATTCAATTTTTTAAAACTGTTGGTTGTAAATTTAACGATTCAGAATTGGTATATTTCAATATTTTCTCATGTTTATGCTGATTCGTTATGAAAGGTCTCGACAAATAATATTATGACGTAGTTGCCCTGTTATGCATTGTTTGATTGCAAAAAATTTTGTGGTTTATGTTGGGGGTTCTTTACACTTGCGAGAACAACCGCAACAGCGAGTAACCGGGAACAAAACTTCCTATAATTAAATTTTTTACAAATCTGCAAGTAATACGTGCCGAGTCAAGTGCAGGCTGACATGCTCATTTTCTTACAAATTCAAATAAAACTAACGGTTAGTTTTTCGGTAGAAATCATATAAGGTAGTGATCAACCATATTTGGTGGCAATCAATGTTTTAAATAAACTTTTGTTTTAAACTAATCTTTGTCTGCGCATTTTCCATTTTTTTTCAAATGCAAATTATGATATTTGATAGGTATTTTCATTGGCATACTTCCTTAGTCATTAACTAATTTTATTGTGCTTGCGATTAGCAAACGTTATCAAATCGATAAATACTTCTTTTTTCGGGTTGAGAACTTGTTTAACAGAATTACTTGGTATCTTGGTTCATACTGAATTGAAATTTCCAACTATCTCCGGCACTTTTAGTATGGGGATATAAGCCTGGGCGGCATAGGTCCTGGGATCAAATCTGACCAGGACCTGTTTTTTTTCAAAGGGGAAATATTCAGTTTCAAAAAATGTCAAAAAAATTGTCGGATTAATAGTCTGCGTATGTTTTGTCAGCTTAGTTGACACTTCGTAGGATTTTTTTGCTGTATGCAGTTTTCATTGTAGATGCTTTTTGATGCTTAATGTTTAAAAGTCAGAATTTATAGCTCAAAGACAACGATTTTTTCGCCGAAAAATTGTTTTTGCATTTCCATTAAACGCCGTCGAATGTGTTTCTGGACGTTTTGTCCGCAAATAGAACATCATTCCAGACAACATTTGGAACCCTTTTCTTTGTAATTAGTTGCTTCCTTTCCTGTTGCTAGCTTGCAGTGCTATTTTTATGATTTTGCTTTGATAAATTTTTTCTATAATTGAAAGTTTTTCTGTCATTTGTAATTTTATCAACTCCGCCTTATAAATTGTGCCATAAGAGTGGACTTAAGCTATTTAAATTTGGCTGAAATCATAGAAATTGGAAAAAGAAAAATACATTTAATCAAACTCAACGTGATTTTCCACGTTTGTGTTGTTTCAAGAGGGATGGGTTTTATTCGGCTTTGGATTTCAAAACTTATTGACTCAAATTTCTATATGGGAACAATTTTGTTTTCGGCTTAAGGGTAGTGGAACTAAGGTTTGCCCGCTTGATTGTCACTTAGTAGTGTTTTATTAATGCTTATTTGACGCTGTTAATAACCTGACTCGAAACATGTATAATTTTTTTCTAGAGTTAAGTTTCATTTTTCTATTAGATATTTTTTGATATTAATTACTTTTATTAGAGATAATTGTTTTTTTTTTGTTTGAAAGAAAATAATTAAATAATATGTCTACTATATATTTAATTGCGGGCTTCACTATCTTGCCACTTTTAAGCTTTTTAAACGTAATATTTTTGCATGTTTAACGAAAGAATTTTTGCACGTTTAAGCTATATCGTATTTTGCCATGGTTAAGATTTTTTTCCGATTTCCATTTTCAATGTGTTTATTTCACCGAGATTAAAATAAGCAGCCCAGTAGCGGGATGCTATCAGGGTTCTTCTAGAGGTTGCTAGTTTGGCTTCCAATTATGAATGCCTAAATTCTTTTAGTGTACGAGCTACGACGATTTTTGTGATTTTTTTCAAAAGTTTTCAGAAAACTCAAATTAAAAACAATTTACAAAACTTGAAATTCCCAAACCTGTAGTTGGGTGCTGTCAGAATACTCTCAAGGATTGTGAATCTTGCCTCCAAATATGACTGCTCAATTCCTTGTAGTTTTCGAGATATGACGTGTTTTATGATTTCTTTTTTTAATTTTTCAGAAAACTTTGCTTTTAAAAAAATCAAAAGAATTGAAATTCCTAACTTTGTAGTTGAGTACTGTGAGGGTACTCTCAGGAGTTTCAAAGTGCAAATCTTGCCGCCAAATGAGACTGCCCAGCTGCTCTAAGTTTTCAAGATGTTACGCTTGTTATCTATTATTTTTTAGAACATAGATATAAGACATTTCACAAATTTTGAATTCCCATCTCTATAGCGAGGCTTTGTCAGGGTACTACAAGGAGCTACTAATTTTGCCTCAAAATTTGATTGCTCAAATCCTTGTACTTTTTGAGATATGACGTTTTTTTGTGATTTTTCAAAAAAAAATGTTCAGAAAATTTTTAATTAAAAATTTCCAACCCTGTAGCTGGAGGCTGTCAGAGTACTGTTAAGGCTTGCAAATCTGACGACCACATTTGATTGCTGAAATCTTTGTAGTTTTCAAGATATGACTTTTCGTGATTTTTTCTTCTAAGTTTCTAAGAATTTCCTAACTCTGTACTTTGGGGCCGTCAGAGTACTCTCAAAGGTTGCGAACCTTGCCTCCAAATATGACTCCTAAAATCTTGGTAGTTTTTGAGATTCGCAACATTGTAATTGGGTACTATCAGAGTACACTCAGAAATTGAAAATCCTGAGTCAAAAAGCGACTGCTCATTTGCATGTCGTTTCCGAGATGTGACGTTTCTTAATTAATTTATGGTTTTACAAATTTGAAATTACCAACCCTGTAATTGGGTGCTGTCAGATTTCATCAAAGCATGCATACATTGTTTTTAATATATGAGGTTTTTTAATGAGTAGTTAAAAAATTGAAGCGCCGGAGCTGCGTTAAACGCTAATTATTTTAAATAATATATTCTGTCTCTTTTTCTATTCACATTATTATAATGTAATGTTTCAGTTGTATCGCAAGTAGTGCGCAGTGTATAAGTTTGAGTTTCGAAATGTAACTATAATTTCCCTAAACCGAGGAATTTTGTTGACGTATAGTTTTCGAGGTTTTGATCGTGTGACTGAAATTCTGAAGTGAAAAAAAAATTGATATTGATTTCGGCAGTTTGAGATTTCATTTACCATTTCAAAAGGTTTTCATTTTCAGGGAATTTTGCAGATTTTTTCTATATTAATGTTTATATCTACTTTCTGATTTAAACTTTGTTGCTAGTTATTTGTACCCTGATTTTTCTGAAATATTATTGTGAACGAATCTTCGGTGATACTGGCTCAGCAAACGTGTTTTTTGATTTTATACACTGAGTTTTTTTTGAGCAGTGCCTTTGGGTTGCGAGGGTGTTGAATTCCACAAAGATAATTTTATTCCAGAAAGATCATGTATCACCTCTGTCGTCCTTAATGCACCCATCAATTTTGTGAATTGATTTCAAACAATATAAATTTTTGGAGAAGTTGAAAATTTTGGTGAACAGCGTTAAACATATTGCCCAAATCGGTTTGAAAAATTTTGATACATTTTTAAGTCATGAAAATTGCCAGTTTGGAAATAACCAATAGGTTTGGCTGAAAGAAAAAACGCTATTTTAAAGCAACCTGTAAAATAATCTGTCTAGATAAACGTTTATCTAAAATTTTGGTGGATAAATTGGGCTGCACTGAATATCTTTAATGCCAAATTCTCAAAATCATTTGCTTTCAGGTAAGCTATGTCACTGTACGACGGAATTGGATTAAATCTGGACTCGAAGCAGGAAACTGGTGAGTTATTTCAATCTTTTTTGGCTATGCTGTGTGAGTATTCAAAGCTGTCGCTGGTTGAAAGGCTGGCGGTTGCTAACGTTAATCATGGCACTTCTTTGATTTTAAAGATTGATAAATGATTGTATAGATCTATTAAAATTTATATGTGAGTCCATTTTAGCAATAATTTGAATCCTAAGTTTGAAATGTGCAGCATATGGAAGAAAACATTTTAAATTACGAAGAATACATTCATTTAAATTATCCGGGCAAAACGAATAAAACTAAAATTAAAAGGCGTTCTCCTCAAATTGGGCTGATTTTAGTCAAAAAAATAATGAAGACAATTCGTTCTTCAGTTTCAGCGGAAAGAATTAAGTACAATTTATTTTGCAAAACTCAAGCCCAAAGTTTTACCCCAAAACGAGCATTTTTGGTGTTTTAGTCGATTAAAATTTACGTCAAAACTATTTTTTCAATTGCTGACAAAAATATATCGGGGCGAGTTTTTTTATAACGCCCTACAAATTTTATAAAGGTTTTCTTCTCAATCTTTTCGTTTTTGTCTTAAAAAAACTTTTATTGTTTGATATATTGGTCGTGATAATTGTTGTTTTTTTAGGAAAAGACGTACTCAAATTTATTTTTCGATTTGACTTTGGATTTCATTTCAAGTTCTGTTCATTTCCTCTGTTAAAAGGAAAGAATTTACAATATAAAACAGCAGAAGTGTAAAGGTCACGAAAAACGTGATTGATTTCTAGTTTCGAAAATGGAATTTAACTTTCAGATGTCCCAGCAAAATAAAAAATTTACCTATCGACCCAGCTTTCAAATTGGCTTAATTTTATCCTAAAAGTGTCAATAAAAGTTTTTTTTAGAAATTCAAAGAGCTTTAAGGCCGTCTGTTTTTTTTTCTGTTTATTTTATTCTGCTTACTTTCTATTCTCCAACTATGTTAAATTGGCTTAATTTTATCCTAAAAGTGTCAATAAAAATTTTTTTAGAAATTCAAAGAGCTTTAAGGCCGTCTGTTTTTTTTCTGTTTATTTTATTCTGCTTACTTTCTATTCTCCAACTAGTCTGTTTGCTATGTTACTATCTAAAAGACCAATTTTTTTATTTCTAAAATAACTCTTAAATATATTGTTGGAGATTAAACCCTTGTTAAGTATTGTTGGGCTAAATAAGAGGCTCAAACTAAAGTTTTTTTTTTTGGTTGTCAGGATAATGTGAATCAGCGTTGTATAAAGCCAGAGTTTATGAAAATTCAAATTTGATAACCCTTTGTTATTACACTCTTTTTCAAACGTTGAGAAATCTGATTTGGGTATATCAATCAAGTAAGGATTCACTTTGAGGTTCACTATATACTTTTTGGCTAATTTTTTCCGCTAAGTTTATAGCTTAGTGTCGGCTGTGTTAACGAATTGTAAATTTTATTGTCAAGGTGAAAAAAAACCGCTTGTAATTGCCTTTTTTTGTGCTGGCGTCGAAATGAAACGCTAAAGCATAAAATTTCCAAACGTTTTTTATTTAGCTGATTAGTTTTCCTTTGTTTGTTGATTCTTTTTACCATTGTGATAATCGGGTACAAGACTTTTTACCTCAAATAATTTGTTCACAGAATGGTTAAAATTAGAAATGATACATTTACTCATGTACCAACTTCCTGTTGTTTTGTTGGAAATACTAAAACTGGCATATTTTGAGCATGTTAGCATTTTAATTATCCGTCGTGTTGTTGAGCAATTGAGAAATTTGTTTATTTTTGTTGGTCGTAATTTACCAATTCGATTTCTTAATTTTTTGTTTCCTTTTTTTCGGCTTTATGAGTTTCAACCTGTTTTATATCGGCTTAGTAGCGGCATATTGCGTCTTCTGATGAGCGAAGAAAAGCGTGGGTGTTTTGAGGGGTAGGGGCTTAAAAAAAACTATTTTTCAAGTCTTTTTGAATTTTTTTCTGCTTGTGCTCGGGTGTTTTCGATTTTGACTCCACTTGTATATTTTCTTCCGATTCTAATTTTACACTCTATTGTGTTGGCTTTTGTTGTCTTTTTTTAAACAAGTTTTTTTGTATTTGATAGTGTTTGTGACATTTTCAAAAATTTTCTTATTTTTTGACTTTTTTGTTTCTTGTATTGTGTTGCAAGTGGTACGAAGCTCCAGATCTCCTGTGTTTTAAATTGTAATGTTGATATTAATTGCAGGTCTTCGAAAATCAAAACCTTTTCAATATCTTCCTTTTTTCTGTATCGCAGTTGTTGAAATAAAAATTGTATGGCGTTTTTTTTATATTTTGTTATCTTTGTTCAGACTAAAAGGAAGTAAATCCGTTCAAATCGTTTTTGTATATTGCTCTTTTTGTATTGAACTAATTTTTAAAGGTTATTTTCTGACATTGCTAGGATTCACATGGCTACTAACAACAACATAGTTATCTGATTCTTATCATAGTTTTCAAAGTTCAATACTTCGAACATGTTTTTAAATTATACTCGCATCTAACAATGACATTTACAGATGGAATTGATAGGTCTGCATGGCTTTCGCCAAGACGGCAGACATTGCGATGAGCTCCGTAAAATAAACTGTAAACTAGGAGTCCTCCCACAAGCGGACGGATCTGCCGTTTTCGAGGTCGGCAACACCAAAGTTATGGCAGCAGTTTACGGGCCACATGAGCCATCATCTGTGTTAAGACATAAAGTACCTCATGATCGCGCACTGTTAAATTGTGTATTTAGCATGGCCACGTTTAGCACTACAGAAAGAAAGAAAAGACCTACTGGTGATAAGAGGTCGCAAAGTTTCTCGATTAATTTGAAACAGGCCTTTGATTCTGTTGTTTTAACTCATCTGTACCCGAGGTCACAAATTGACCTCTATGTGCAAGTAACGCAATCGGATGGCGCTAATTATGCCGCGTGTATAAACGCAGCTACTTTAGCGTTCATAGACGCTTGTATACCTATGAAAGATTATGTATCGGCTTGTACGGCTAGTATAGTTGACGAAAAAGGAGTCCTTGATGTTTCGTATCTCGAAGAGTCACAAGGGTGCCCAGTTTTGACCTTGGCGTTATTGCCGAGAAGCGAAGAGATAGTAGTTACGGACATGAATGCTAGGTTGCATCTGGACCATTTGCCTAATATGCTGGACTTTGCAATGAAAGGCTGCAAGGATATTTTTAGTGTGATGGAAAGCGCCACAAGAGCACACGTGAACTCAAAATCTTGAAAGTTGAAAATCTGGTTCTTGATTTATGAAAATTTAATTTATGATTTTGTCTGTATTTTTCAAGGAGATGAAAATTCGGGAAACTCTGATGAATTATGTATAGTTGTCTAATTTACGAACTGTTGTTTGTTACGATTTATAAACGCTAGAAAGGTTGTGAAATATAACATTTTCAATCAAGAGAACTTCAATCTATAAAAATGTGTCTTTTTCAGCGGGATGGCAACAGTCGAGTTCAATAAAACTGCTGCAGTCCCAATTGGTGGCCAAAAAAGCATCTCTCCAACAGAGGGCAAAGAGAGTCATCCCTAATTCAGCATCAGTAACTGCTTCAACTCAGCAGTCATCTGTGATAGCCACTACTACATTGCAGGAGGTAAGACTTGTTAAGTAAAGGCTGTTTACGGAGAACCACTGTTGTGCCCCTGGCTAAGAGTTTGGCACGATTTCAGGCAACTGAAAAAATTATCATAAGCGCTCGAGTTGGATGTTAACATTATAGATACATGCAGCCTTTTGATTCTTGGTTTCGATTCCCAAAAAGTTTCGGTATCGGCAACAATTTCTAACTCACCGCATAAAATTGGACGATGTAAAACATTATTTTTTGCTTCAGACAAATTTTACTCAGATTCGCATATTTTTTCTTATGTATTCAACTATATTCAACTATAACACCTCGCTACTCGTGAAATTGGCACTGACTTTTTTCTAATTTGATATATTTTTTTCTTTTTTACTCTGTTTTTTTTTGTTTCTTTCGTTCATGACTCTTTTCCAGCTGTCTGTTGGCTATGTTTTGTTAGTTCGCTAATTTTTGTTGAACGGTCGGCAGTTCTGTAAATTCGTTAATTTTTAATGGCTAATTGATTTGATAGAAATGTAAATGCTATTAACAGAAAACAGCAGTTTGTTGCTTCTTAAATTTTTTCATGTGCTCGTTGCTAAGTTTTCTTTGGATAAAGGCCAAATTGTTGGCAAAATCGGTGAGTTTGGGCATCCTAATTGATGAGAAAACGGCCGTTCTATGTGACTTAGATATTAAATGTAATGAACTTTGTGAAGACTGTTACATAGTTCTTAGTTATTTTTATGTTTTTTTTTCAGGAAAAAGTCTTAATTTCTCCACTCTCAATTTTGATTTTTCGAGGCTTGACTTTTGAATTTTTTCTATGTTCAGTTCATTTCCATTGTTTAAAGAAAGGCAAACTCCTCTATCGAACAGCAAAAGTTTAAAGCTCACGAAAAACGTGATGGACTTCTAGCTTCTAAAGTGAATTTTTCGTGTTCACATTTATCAGCGGAATTAAAAATTTACCTCTTCATCCGGTTTTCTCAAACTGGGTTATTTTTTATCAAAAAATGCACCCATCATAAAATAAAATTCGAGAAATAAGTCAGTTTTTTCTGTTTCTTTGCGTTTATTACTCTTTTCCTACTGCCAGTTGTCTATGTTTTACATTTTGTAGAGTAGTGTTTTAGTATGACACTACTTTTTTTTCCACCCCAACTTGGAAATAAAAGTGCTCCTTTGTTGGCACTTTGGCTGCAATCACGATCTGTAGCAGTGGACGTTTCATAGCATCTGTTCTTTGCTTTATTTGTGCTTAATGTTTGGCTGAGAGGGAAAGGCGCGAGACTCCAAATCTCAAAGTCGCAGGGTCAAATCCGACACGTAGCTAAGTTTTCCAACTCTGGGCTTATTTGTTTTTTTTTTCACTTAAAAGAGCTGCTTCTTTGTCGTTTTTTTTTCGCTAGTGTTTGCGGGCTTATTTCTGTTTTATTTCACTTAAAAGAGCTGCTTCTGTGTCGTTTTTTTTTCGCTAGTGTTTGCGAAGCACAGCTTAACCTTTGCGTTTGATATAATTTTTTACGTCCTCGGTTGAGTGAAAAGTTGATTTCAGAGGTCAAAATAAGCAGTTTTAAGTTATGTAACGTCGTGCAGTTAAGTTGCCCGAAAAGAATATTGTCAACAATTGGATATTAATTATATAATAGTGGTTACACTGCTCTAAATGCATTGGTTTAGGGTGATATATTTCAATAGCTGGCAGATTCAAGTTAAGTAGCTGGATCGAACTTCGAACAGTATTTATAATTTATTTGAAAAAGCCGCAGTTTTGGCAAAAGACGTGTAGAACTTGAATTTTTGAATAACATTTCATCTGGCAGAGTAATGTATTCAGAAAAACTAATAGCATGTACAGTTGATTGAAAATGAAATGGCTATATTATGCATTATATTTCTCAAATTGATTTCATGCACTATACTCTAAATTACCATCTATTGAAACATATAACCGGCTTTGGTTTTAGAATTCCTCTTCTCGAAATGGAGACACTTCAGCAACACCCTCCCAAGACTCCACCGAAGTCTCATCGTCGGCAACAATACCTCTAGCTGGAACACCAGCTGGATTCAGTTTCGCTTCCGGAGTTCCGGCTATGGAAGAGTACGACCCATTTAAACCCAATGATTACGAGGAATCTAAAAAGAGGCAACATCAGATATATATGCAGTCTAAACAGGCGAGGACAAGAAGACACGATGACGATGGTTCACCAGTTAATAGAAGGTGAGTTGGTTGACTGTGGTTCTTTTAGGTCGCTCCAAAATTAGTTTGTATTAAGTTAAAGTATGCCGCTTTTTCCAATGCAAGTTAATTTACTTAAACTAGCGAGCCTTAGTGTATAAGTACGAACCTTTTTTTCTAACTTAACTCGCAAATAAAAGTATTCTGCTATAATCACGATCTGCGGCATTGGAAATTTCACAGCATCTGTTATCCGCTTTATTTGTGGCTAGTGATTGTGGTTTTTTTTAAGCGTCAGTGGCTGAGTGGTTAGTGTGTGAGACTCATAATCTGTACGTCACAGATAAAATCCGAGACATAGCCGAATTTTTACTACTTCGAGGTTTATTTCAATTTTTTCTTATTGCACTTGATTTTTGTCGAATTCTTGCTAGTGTTTGAGAAGCGCAGCTTTGCCTCTGTGTAAATCTATGCATATAAATGCAAATGAACGTTTTTATAGGTCTTATACAATTTTCACGCCTAAAAACAAAAAACTTTTATTGAGCCGAACCATTTTCTCCTTTATGATGATCTTGATGATCATAATACGCACAATGCTTGTGTATTATGCGTTCTTTTTTCAAATTCATGTGCAGCATGATAGGCGTAAAGTGACTCAGTCGTTTGGAACATCTCTCTAATAAGAACCAAACCAAAATGGTTCAGATTCGTGTCATTTCGGTTGATCAGGTTTCTTTTCATTGTGAAATATACACTACGTTTTTTGATTTCATGAATTCGTTTTTCGGTGTCAAGAATTCGAAGAATTTCGCCTTCATTTACACAAAAAAAATCAATTTTAACATTGGGTCAAAAAGCTATTTCAATATGAAGTTATTTGTTTCAGGCGTAGTTCACGTAGTCCAAAAGATTCAGATGGACCCACATCCTCAAAGTTGTCTCGTGGAAACTCACCCCAACTTACAACTGGTCAGGACGAACAAGGAAACAACTCTCCTTCAAATAATACCACACAGTTAAAGAGCAATCAGCCGAATGACTCGACGCCGATCGTGAACTCGTTTTTGGGAGCCAATAAACTAAGTTTAGGATTCGCAGGGCGGTATTCGGACAGCGAAGAAGAAGAGTTTGAACCCGAGAAGAACAAGAAGTCAGTCGCTGATAATGGTAAGAACATCGTCGAATGAACAAATAAACGTGTAGCTCTAAGTTGAAACAAATTTTTCAGCTCATACCAAAAATTACTTATCACTTATTAAAAAAATGTAATGATGATGAAAATAATAATTGCTTTAAAAATTGTATTGAGTATTATGATTTCGATGAGCTACGGTCAGGGTGGACTAATGTTCCTGTTATTGCTGAACTGTCCTACAATTGATTCATCCAATCGCATCAATTGGATGAATCAATTTTTATAATTAATATAGTTAATAATTTTCGTAGACCGCTTCCCTGTCGCACTAAATTCTTAGATCCTCCCACTTATTCTCGGTATGATTTCATTCTTTTCAAGTTGGTCCGTGTTTTTGATGTTCATTTTTCCTTCCTGACTTTGGTTGGCTTCTATGAGTTCTAGAATTGTGTTGCGCAATTTAAATAATTTTGAATGTGTTCGTTTGTTTCTAGATCCCTCAAGAAAAGGCGCGGCCATTGCACCTCCACAAGAGCAGTTGCAAGCGCAGGAGAAAATGATAGCGGGTATGACATCTTTCAAAACAATTCAACTTCATTGTTACATCTTTCAAAACACGTCCGTTTCTTTTTCTAGAAACATGTCCAGGCTTTGGTTCGATCAGTGTTGTTTGTTTTTTTTTCATGAAAATGTTGAAAAAAAACGCTCGTCTAGTACAAGAGCCTAACAGGGTCTTTTTAATTGACCTCCAATGGGGTCAAATTTGACTGGATCCTCTTTTTGGCTAATCAAGTTGGAAGTTTTTTGAAGGGTGCATTCTGGATGCCTATATACTTGTAGGAGACGGAACGAGCGCCGAAAAGACTAGTTTTTGGGTCAAACCTTCCATAAGGTGGAGCCTCGAAAAACTAAGTAGGCTGACCTAAAAATAGAAATGAAACCTTGCATCTTGGAAAATTCATTAGCTACGAGACCCATATCGCGTTTTGCAATGAATAAATGTTTTTATGATGATTCAATTATTTTCTGATGATACTGCACAGCTAGGTAAGAAAATAAAAAAGGTTATCTGGCTACAATCATTTTTAAACGCGGGAGTTTCTGTTTTTGCTAATTTAATAGTTTTTTGTGGTTTGGTTGATGAATATAATGGGCAATAGTTGCGTCGTTGCAGTTAATTGTTAAACGCGGTCTTTTGTTATGTGCTGTAGCGAATCCTATTGTTGCAAGTGCAGTCCCGGATAGACCTTATGCCAAAATATTTCACAAAACGGACTCTTCTCTCCAATTGGGGTAAGACATCACTCACACCATTACTAGGTACTATTTATTACAAACACATGTTTCATAAGAGTAGAAATCAGTTTTTCGCTGGGTGCATTTTTCTCCGATATCTTCGGATTATAGCTCAAAATCTCAGACTGGAATGAAATAACGGAGAGATAAATGATGTTTTCTAGTACTTCATTATTTTAGTCAACTTTGGTTGATTTTGTTCAATCGCTCTTTTCGATTTAATTGATGTCTGAATTTTTCGTTTTCTTGTTAGCATTCGTATTTTTTTGTTAACGGTAGCTTGCCTTTAAAGGTGGATAAGTATACATACGTCTATTTCGGTCCTTGATCAGTTCGAATGTGCTGGTAATAGAGACATGATTTCTGTTGATTTTTGGGCGCCCAATTTTAGCACATCGGTCGCGGTCAACATCATGAAGAAGTTTGGCTACAAAGAGGGAGCTGGGTTGGGTAAAAGTGGCCAGGGCATAGCGACTGCATTGCAAGTGGAAAAAACGAGTAAAAGAGGTGGCAAAATCATCAATGCAGGTAATAAAATAGAACGGTAGGGACAACATTTTTTAAGCGATGAGCCAGAAAATTAAAAATATAAAATAAATATTTAGTTGCTTGAGAGTTCCGATAGTTAAGCTGTTTTTGATTTTTAAAAAGCTGCACAGATCGGCTGAAAAAATAATAATAAAAATTGCTCGAATGAGATAAGTGAATGAATTCTCAGATTCGGAGGTGAGGGAAGCCGCTAGACGTGAACAAGAAGAGCAAGAGTCAATCGCAGAGATGATGAAAAGACCCTCGAAGGTCATCCTTCTAAAGGTAATAACTACAAATACATTTTAACTTTGGGCAAATACATGTTGCTTTTGAGACAATTAATTCACAAGGTATAGGACCAACCCATGAGCTGTCCAGGTTGATCTTTAAAAAATGAGTACTTTTTTCTCAGATTTTTGTCAAATTGTATCGAATATGACATAATATTCTATAGAAGGATGGGGCTGATAAAAAATCAATTCCAAAAGTTTCCGCAAAAAATTGTTGAGGAATTTTTTCTCAGAATAAAGTGATATGAGCTGAATTTATTGAGTTGTGACTCGTATTTTTAGAACATGGTGGGTCCGGGGGAGGTGGACGAAGACCTGGAGCCGGAGACAGCGGAAGAGTGCAGCAAGTATGGGGATGTGGTCAAGGTGGTCATCTTCGAGATGCCCAAAGGACCACAGGCATCTATTGACGACGCAGTCCGAATATTCGTGCAGTTCAAACGCATGGAGTCGGCTATCAAAGGTTAACCTGAACATTAAGTGTCATCTGATTAAAATATGTTGAGTTTAAATTTTTCAAAAATCAAATTAGGTTAATTGATTCAGGTTTGCTCTGTTTTCTGTTGTAATTTGGTCGATTTTAGTAAAGTCGTTGACGTGCTTTTTAAAGATCAAAATTTATTTTATTTCTTCGGCTTTCAAATTAGATTCAAATTAGTCGGTGCAGTTTCTCCGAAACAGCTGAACTTTTATGATAGGAAAAATGCTTCATTTGATTCCATTTGAATTTTTTTCACTCGTATATTTTCACTAATACTGACAGGCCAAATTTAAAGATAAAAATTTGTTGGTCATATATAATATAAGCAGATTAATTAATTTATTTTAGATTGAAGTGTCAAAATTTATTTTTTTCTGTTCCAGCAATCGTAGATCTTAACGGCAGGTGGTTTGGAGGGCGGCAAGTCAGAGCCGCTTTTTATGAAATGGACAGATTTGAGACTATGGAACTAACAGACTGAATGTATTACATAACTCAATTGTTTTAACAAATAGATTGAAATTTATTTGGTTGATTCTGATTTATTTTGTTTTCAGATTTACTTGTCACAAATTTAAGTATTCAGTTTGACTTGTTTTAATTTAAGTGTGCAGTTCATGGCTAGTGGTTTCTGGATTCTTTCGGTTCAGATGTGATATTCAGTGACCATTCGGTCGTTAATATGGAACTGACTAGTAATGATGATTAATCAGTCTACAGGTTCAGCAAAATCAATAATTTTTATGCAGTAATTCTATAATGTCAAATATTAAGTTCATTTAGAAAAAAGTTAATTGTGGATTCTCAAACATTTCGAAAATTTCGTTGTGCCGAGAGACCGCGCAAACAGCTTGAGAGAACAAGCAGATGGCAAGAGGCATAAAAATCTCAGAAACCATCTTTCTTTAACGGTATCACGTAACATTCGGTAAGTCTATAAAAGTAGTTTTTTTTGTTTTTTTCGTCCAGCGAAAAAATGTTTACGATAAGTTTTGATTTTTGGCGTTTTTATTTCTGATTTTCTGAAATGAGCAAGTACTTAGTACATGAATGACTTTCATTTTACAGTTTCAAAATTGAGTTCAATTTTTAATCCGAAAACTTTGGAGAATCGATCAAAAATCTTCGCAAAATTTAACAAGGATAGCCGGTTGCTGTGAAAGTAGCACGGTATGTTTCGACCAAAATGTTAAAAAAGAAAGTGTTTTATTTTTATTTTAATTAGTGTCGCTTTAGTTGGTGTGATTCGAGAACTATACGCATAGAAAATTTGCATAGAAAAATAGTGAATTAGGAAAGATCGACAGTATTTGTCTTCCAAAAATGAATAAAAAACAAGAAAAATGAAAAACAAAAACTTTTGTGTTCTAAATTTTAGCACAATAATTTGAACTTTTTATAGAAAAGCTGTTTTGCCAAACAAACGCTAAATGACACATTCACAGCTAATTTTCTTTGAAGTAAAATGAAGTTTTGGATCCTAAAAGTCTAAAACAAACAGTTATTTTTTTCTATGATTAGCGTTACTCGAGCGCGTTACTTGCTTGAAATAGAACAAAAAATCAAAAATTCACATAGGTTTTTCGCAACACTGGGAAAAGTTTTCAGAATTTTAAAAAATTTTTTCGAATCATGACTGAAAAGGCTTTGATATGATATATCCTTCAACTCAATCCGATGACTATTTGTGGTAGTTGATTTAGCGACAATAAACAAAATAAAAAATTAAAACAGCCGAAAAAAAATTCCTCCCAATTTGCAATGGTCGGAACTAGAAGCTTTCGAAAGATCTATGTTATCATTGGAAGTTTTTGAATTGTCTTTGAGATGGGTTTCTGTTTGTTGAAATCCTCTGACGCAAACTGTGTGTTATACTGTCAGTCCATTTTTAAAGAAGTTTGAAGATATATATGCATACGTCTTTTCAAAGTGTGTGCGTTCATGACGCAGCATAAATCAGCTAACCGCGTTGATAG